CAGAATGTATGTATACAGAATGTATGCATTTGCTAGAACAAAGCTGGACGGTTTTGAAGGCCAGATTCCTTAATTACTGAACTTTACAAGGAGAATTAAATAGCATTTCAGTCTTTCACATGACTCTTTCCAGGCAGTAATTTTGACTAAAGCTCGAAGTTGCCTGTTTTCAATGAAACAAATTATAGTTCCTTAAAGTGTATCTAATCCAGAAGACAAGCACTGTAACTGTGATTTTGCCCCCTAAAATCTACCTCTATTATCATTAGTTTAACTTAAAAAAATAATGAATACTTTTAGTATGCTTTACTTGTGAACATACCTGTCCAATTCCAAGAAACATTGGTGATGGGAAGCTGAAAAGCATGAACAGATATTTAGTACTGAGGAATGGAAATAAATAATTTGGAAAAATAAAAAAGTTAAATTTTAAAACCAAATTCAACAATTAAACAGGAGGATGACTGGCCTGTGCTTAAGAAGAGTTCAGGACTACACTTAATGTAGTAGAAATATTTTATTTCTGAAGCCCAAATGATACAGCCCATGTACAGTTGATCAGTTCTGAACTGCTAGTTGTTTGGGGAATACTCATAAGTGAAGGTAACACACTTAGAGAACTCTTAATGCATCATTTCTTCAGCAGCTTCACATTTACATTTTAAATCCTAAGATGGGATAGTAACTAAAACATCTTGCACTTGCTCTAACTTGGAAGCTTATCTCTACAATCCAAACATACTAGCAATATGTTTTTGTCAAAATCAAGTTCTTAAGTAAATGTTGTAGAAACATCTATTGCCTACTAAACCAGCTACATTCCTACTATAACCCTTCAGTTGTCTTTAGCTGAAAGCATGGATAGAGCCACAGAAAGGTTTAGGTTGGAAGGGACCTTAAAGATCATCTAGCTCCAAACCTTCTGCCATGGGCAGGGGCACTTTCCACTACTCCATGTTGCTCAAAGCCCCATCCAGACTGGTCTTGATGACTGGTCGTCTCTAGGGACGAGAAGCCCACAGCCTCTCTGGACAACTTACTCCAGTGCCTCACCACTTTCACAGTAAAGAATTTCTTCCTAGTATCAATCTAGACCTCCCCTCTTTCAGCTTAAGTCCAGCTTAATTTCCCTTTGTCCTATCACTACATGGCCTTCTCAAAAGTCCTTCTTGAGCTCTTCCCTTTAGGTACTAGAAAGCCACAGTAAGGTCTTCCTGGAATCTTCTCCAGGCTGAACTATCCTATCTCTCTCAGCCTGTCTTCACAGGAGAGGTGCTGCCATCCTGCGATCAGAGCCACTGTGTTTAGTGGCCTCCTCTGGACTAATTCCAGCTGGTCCATGTCTTCTTTGAGTTGGGGGGCTCCAAGACCTGGATGCGTTATTACAGGTAGGGTCTCACCAGAACAGGGGCACAGAATCCCCTTCCTCCCCCTGCTGGCCTCACCTCTTCTGATGCAGCCCAGGTGTTGGGTTTCTGAGCTGCAAACACACGGTGCTGGTTCATATTCAGCTTTTTATCACAAACACCCCCAAGTCCTTCTCCCCTGGGCCAGTCTTGACCCATTCTCCATGCATACTATATTTGTGCCTAGGATTGCCTCAGTCCAGCTGCAGGACCTTGTACTTGGCCTTGTTGAACTTCATGATGTTTGCAGAAGCTGCAGTTCTCCTGCTTAGTGCGGTGAGAAACGTACATCTAATATTAACATAATTGAAATGGGAACAAAGCATTGACAAAAGAAACAAACACGCTGACTCACAGCAAAAAGGCCATAAGAGCACTACAGTCCTAACACAGCTAGGAGCAATTGATAGCAAAAGAGATCAGGGAAACAGAAGTATTGGGCGCAGGAAAAACATAAAAAATTGCAGGACTTCCATTTATAATCATGCGACACTTAAACTGCCTTTTGTTTAGTATTTACAGCTCTCCCATATAAAGATGGAGAGTTTGTCCAACTGTACTACACAGATTTCTGCAGACATTTGTGATTTGCAGAGGCCTAAATATTTCCAGCAATGCTGTAAGGTCTTAATACAAAACTTAGGTTTACTGATGGACATACTCGATTATCTCACGCAGATGTGCTAGATGTATGCCAAGGACTTTCAGGGAGCTGCAGTCCATAGGATAAAAAGCACTATAAAATAAAATCTCAACTTGCACCATGTACAATTTATGAGACATATTAAATACAGCTGCTATATGTTCAAATAGCACTGAACGTCAGAAAATGACATTTGGCTTTTTAACTTTCTTCTCATTTTGGTTTTTCTTTTTCTTATTTTCATTCAAGATGAGCTAAACCACAGCAAAAACAGAGCAAAGATTTTAAGTAAAACATGTTACTGGTGACAAAAATGGCAGTCACAGGACAATATAGAATCATAGAATATCCTGAGTCAGAAGGGACCCAGAAGGATGATCGAAGTCCAACAAGTATACACATCTAGATGGGAAAAGAGTTGGAGATGAATGCCCAAGTTCCTACTTCCCTCAGCTGCAAGACTAAGAGTAAAATGCAGTGTAAGAGGTGTGCAGTTAATGCTGTTGCTTTACACAGTGGTAGAAGAATCTAATTATCACCTGGATTCCATATGGGAATTAGCGCCATCAAGTCAAGGACGGAATCTCTCAGTGTTTTTATGATCAAGCCATTTTACGAGGTTCACTTTTCGTTTTGGCTACCTCAGAAAACAAAGATGCTGGAAGGAAGATACTGTTCGGCAGGAACAGTTAGAGGATACGCTGTTTCCCTCACGGGTGTCTCAGGAATTGCGATCCTCTGGGAATAGCGAAACGACCCGCAGGAAAAGACGGGCGTAGTCGGAACTGTGCCTGCCGTCGGGCGATGCTGCAGAACAGGTACATACTGGGCACGGGTGGGGTCTCAGATTGGAGAAACCGGCCCTGCTTCCAGCACATTACCCACTAGCTGGCTGCTGTGGGTAACTGGGATCCCGAGCTGCACGGACGCCCGAGGGTCACGCCAACGGGAAGGGGAACAGGAGCGGGAAGGCTTCTCCGCTGGGCAAGGACGGAGCCTGGCATGGCCCGGCACCGGCCGTACCGGCACCGGCTGCTGGGGGCCGCCCGCTCCGCCCCGGCGCTCACCTGTAGGCGCTGAGGAGCGCCTTGTTGACCAGCACGGTGAGGAAAGAGCACGTCCCGTAGAAGAGCGCCGAGAGCACCCTGGGAAGTGTTGGGGAAGCGGCGGCGGCGTCCGCCTCCTCCCCCGCGGCCTGCCCGGCGCTCATGGCGGCGACGAGCGGCGGCGAGCAGGGCCGCACCGCGGGCTTGCACCAGGGTGGCCGTGGGGACGCCGCTCCTCCTCCTGCTCCCCGGCCCGTCCCCAGACGGCGGCGGCGGCCCCGGTTCCGGGCGCGGCGGCCCCGCGGGCGGGTCTGGAGCGACGCCGCGCCTCGCCTCGCCTGCCGGGGGCGCTGCCGCCGCCAGGGCCGGGGCGCCCCGCCAGAGCGGCCCGCGGGGCCCGGCGGCGGCGGGGCGGGCACCGCGCGGGGCCTCCGGCGGGCCGGGGCCGCGGCAGCCCAGCCCCCAGAGCGCCCGGCCGTGCTGTTAAACCAGGCCGGCGGCAAAGCGGGGCCTCTGGGGCCGGCCTGCGGAAGGGAGAGGGCCGAACCCCGCGGGGGCACTGCTGCAGCCAGCCCTCAGCACCCCCAGAGCTCGGCCTGGGCTTCGCGCGGAGGGACGGATTCTCACAAGTTCCTGAAACTAAAAAACAATTTACCTTGGGTGGTTTAACTTGTGTCAAATTTCAAGGGACAGGGAAAATAAACACCTTAAGCCTTCTCTGCAACAAGCCGGGCTGTCAGAAACGAGGAGGAGGCAGAGTATTTAATAATTACCAAACAGCACACATTAAACCTGAAAATTAAATCAAGTTTTTATTCAAAGCATCTATTAGAATGACAGCACATCAACTCTTCTGCTTTTAACTCACACCAAACTACAACTTAAATCTTTCAAAGAACCAAACAATTTCTTGTATGTAATCACTTAATAAAACAAAAAGCAGTCTTCCACAACGCATCTTTGCTTTTTTAACTTGGTATTTTATCCTAAACTTGTCATGATCGAAAACTGCTTCAGCTGTCTGAATTTCGTCTATGGCAAAGTACAATCCAGTGTACTTGTCACACTTCAAAGACCTGAGGAAATATTCTGGCTGACTGAAAAAAGAACTTGAAAAACCTCAAACCCAACAACAACAACAACAACAACAAAAAACCCCACCAAAAAATCCACAGCCAATCCTGATGAAGTAATATTCCAGTCTGCAAGTGGCTGGTAATTACAGTCTTCTGCCCTGTGAAACACTACTTGGGAGCAATTCTGAGTTATGATTCAGAATTACAACAGATGTATGTTCAGGGCTCATTTTGGTATCAGACTATTCACATGAAGTCAGATGAACAGTCAGAAGCACTTAATATTTTTTAGAAACCCAAAACTTACATACATTAATTAATAACTAGTTTTACATAGGCAAAGAAGCCTTGTATGACTAGTGTTTCCTATTTTTTTCAGAAGCTGAAGCAGAAGTTAAACCGTATCACTGGTGCAAAATTATTTACAATCAATGAAAGACACTTTCTTTTTTTAAATTATTCAATTTCTTTTTAGTTAAGTGCATCAACACAGGATTTAAACAAACTGGATTAATGAGATTTTCAACCACAGAAGGTTATCAGAGAACATACTTCAACAGCTGCAGTTTCTGATATAAAACCACTCTACTTTTCTGGAACAGCTGTATGCATCTGGTCAGCCTACATCAAGTGATTGACAAAATGTTTTCTTCCTTTTCAGTTCAAGCGAGAGGGAAAGAGACTTCCCTTCTCATCTGAATTTCCTGACTTCCAACGAGAGGAAGAAGTTAAAGCAAGCAGGTCAGTAAATACACATTATTAATATCCCCTTAAGCAGTAGCTTAACAACAACAACCAACAACAAAATCACACACAAAAAGTCCAATCTGAAAACAGTTTTGTTAGCATATTAGGAATCTCTGGCTGCCTTCAAAGCAAAATATGGTAAAAGATCACCATGAGGCAATGCTACTGAAAGTACATAACATTCACAAAGTGACAAGATACCCTGTTAAACATTTCATATCAGCATCTGAGTACTAGGCAGCATTCTGCAACTTCATTTATATGGGAAATATATGAAATCACACTGTTAGCACACTTGTAACTACCTTTGGAAGCCTATTTTCTATTTGTATAGTGAATACTTTTCTGCAGTGTTTACTTTATAGCTGTGCTATGGTTAGTGAACAAAAAATTGGCATGTTATGCTGGAGTAAAGCAGTAAGGTGGCTTTATGCACAGTAAGTATGGAGGCTTCTATTTGCTAATCATTATAAAAGCAATGCTTTAAAACTTAGTGTTTGCTAATAGAAGACCTAGAATAGTTTACTACAAACTCAAACCACCCTGTAAATAACCCCTTTATTAACAAAATCAAGTGCCAAATCACTACAGGGCCCAAAAACCTGAAAAAATATTACCAGTTCTTTACCTTTTTCTAGACTTTGCAAGACTAATCATTTTCAGATAAAGCAATGTGCAAAACTTCCCAACTACACATGTTAGGAATAACAAGTGCTACCAAGAGATTCTGCTGAAATCAAATCAAAAAAAATGTGAAGCAGCAAAGTCAAGCCTCATACCTTGGGCAGTCACAGTGAAGATATTCCCTGCATGAAGCATTTTCTTTCCCTGTACAAGTTGAGATAACTAAACTCTGCCCTTCGCCTTGGAGATGCTAGGTATAGATATACTGACATTAGAAAAACATGGTTTCATTGCTGTTTAACAATATCCCCAGACTCATCACTTTGCTAGATAGTCAGATAAATACTTTTTTGTTAGCCTTCTTTGGCCACATGTACCATCCTGCTAATTGTGAACACTTTGTTCAGAAAGTGTTTCCTGTGAAATCTGCTTCAGATAAATGAGTTAACCTTGCAAAATCTAGCTTCCCATGACACATAAATTTATCAACCCTGCCTTATGCAGTCCCATATTTACAAAATACTTAGAAATTTTACATCTGTCTTCTATCCTATCAAAAGTGCAATTCTCTCACCCCATGTTATGGGGCAACAACATTCTTCATAAATTCTACAGAATAGCAGCCTATTATAAGCAAATAAGGTGCTTAGCTTATGCTTGGGATCTAACTGGTTAAGTAACACCAGAAAGTACATTTTTCATGGGCAGAGACTGCTCCTCCTATCTACTGTCGCAGGGGTGCCACAGCTAAGTTTGCCAGCTCAATGAGCGCCAGCGCGCCATGCATGCGTTCACGCTGCTCCTGGAGGCGACGGTGGCGGGCAGCTGAATGAGCACTGTTTTTCTCTTCATCGTCCTCTTCATCAGACTGAAGATACTCCATTGGGTCCTGCTGTTCCTGATCTGTTTTCTGGATTGCTTTGGTCTTCAAAGCAGGAGCACGCTGCTCTCTAGTCTCCCAGTATCTATAACATCAAAGGTGAGGAATACTTGTAAAATACACACAACAATTGACTCGCACATCAACAATTCAAAATGGGCAAAAACCTCCCAAGTACTAGCTTGCATCCAACTGGGCATTGCACTTGGCTTTACCTTTCAGCCCTTATTTGGTAGTATTTAAGCTGTCAGAAAACTTCTTTACTCGGTATTTTAAATGTGAAGTGCCCAAGTGAACATCTGTGACAGACTTCTTGCCTCCATGGTGTTCTCAGCAGGCATTTCTTCCAGACATACAGTACACCTCATACAAATGCAAATTCAGCAAAACTGTAGCACTAGCTAATAAAGTATTAGCAGGTGTTGATCAAGCAAAAAAAAAGTATTGAAGCAGAGAGCAAACACAAAACAAAACTGTAAGAAAAAAGTCTCAAGAACTTTGTCTTGACCAGGAGTTCATAATTCTTTAAGGAGAGGCGAGGCTGTGCTGATGTGTACTGGAAAAACATCTAGTTTTGCTTTCTTGAGGTTTAACTATCCCAAAGAATGAATGCTGTGTTAGACTACTCTTTTAAGTATTTTGAGAAAGATGAGGAAACTTACTTCGCTAGCCACTCAGCCACAGCTTTATTGTCAGCTGTCTCCTTCTTACTCAGCCTGTCTGTGAGCTCCTCCCTCTTCAGTCGGGCATAGGGATGTTTGGGACAATGACGGTTTGCATGTGTGAATCTGCTTAAACAGCCTTAAAAAAACCACAGAGTGACAATGAAGAAGTGTTACAGAAAGCAGCCAACCAAAGAAAGTGTAGCATCTGTGGGATGGAAATGCCACTGAATCCACCCTTCCCCATTCACAAACCCCCTAGGTTTTGGTGAAAACCAAAGGCTCTAGGTTCATAACATGCCCCATTATTTTATACATTAGTATCCACTGACACAAATGTATGCAATCCTTAGATACATACTTGCAGAATTAGGCAGATTCTGCAGGGCTCTTCCGTTCCCAAAAAGTTCCAGCAAATTTAAACTCCAAAGCTTTTGCCATGTGAACACGCATACATTCCCAATGTTAGTCTGACCCCAGAAAGCTGCAAATCGTTCTCTAATGACTTACCATTCTCTGAGCAGACAAAAGGCTTCTCTCCTGTGTGGAGACGCTGGTGAGTTTTGAGCTGCCCACTCTGTACAAAGGCTTTCCCACAATCTGGGTAATCACATAAATAAGGCCTTTCACCTAAAGTAGTAACAGAAGAGATTTATGAAAGATGACTAGAAGTGTCATAGTACCCAGTAGTGGTCCCTGGCTTCAGAAACTTGCATCTACTTTAAAAATCCTGGTTTACTTAGAAGTGCATGCTCTGTGCTACTGAACAATACACTTCCTAAAAGAAAAAAAAATTGTACTTTTCCTTGTCATATTTCCTGATTTAAGACTCCTAGATAGCACTACGTAAGTTTTGTGAAACTGTGCAGATACAAAGCAAGAAATATGGACAAGTGATTGGACAAGTAATGTAATTCAAGTTGTAACTAGAAACATTTTATCCTTACCATAGACTGAACTAGGGTAAAATATCCTGAGGTCAACATCACTACAAGGTTATAGAAATATCTCATTAGGAGAAATAGCTCATGTTTAAGAAAAGTTATAATGATGAAGGCTGCATGAGAAACTTATTCCAGATTCAAGTTTTCTTAAATCAGTCATCAAGGAAGAGTTCTCCACGCAAACTGCAACCAGGAGAACAAAGGTAGCAGGTGTCTCCTTCCTCAAGTGGACCTGACTGCACACACTACACAAAGGTATGCCATGCAACCCTCAGGAAGGCAACAAAATGAGGGTGAGTCTGGCTCACTAATTCAGGGGAATGACAGGGTAAGCTCTACCCAGTTAAGTAGTTCTTAAAAGTTCAACACATTGCAGGACCGAATGAAATAATTTATTTTGAGCAAAAAATGAGGAATGCTGGTGTTTAATATCATTATTTAGATTAGTCATAGTGACCTGAGTCAGAAGGAGATGGAGACAGCCAGGGCTTTTGTGGGATTTTGTTTGGTTGGTTTGAGGGGAGTGCTGGTGGTTGTGTCCGTATTGTGAGCTACATTTTTCATGTTTTATGGCAAACATTGTTCTGTTGAAGAAATAAAATGTATTTGCTTGGTTTAAAAAAACCCAAACAGCATCTTCAGTTTAAGCTCAGCTGAGTATTGAGTGAGTTCATCATACATTTAAACTTAACTGCAAATCACCTTCTAAATACAGTTCAGTGAATTAGCCCGATCTCCTCCACCCCAGAAAATTAATTTTAGGTGGTGGGAAAAAACAACTGGGTGGTGATTTTAAGCATGTAGACTCTTCTCTCAATATTTAAGCTTACTTCCTAGGACGTGACAATCCTGAAGTTGCCATTTTTTAAGTTACTCTAACCTCTTACAGCAAAAAACTTCAACTGTGATGTGAAAAATGCATCAGCAAGGAGGAAACAAAGCGCAAAGAGGCAATCAGGATACAAAGTGCTACCAGGCTCAAGTACAGAGTACCAAGCCCAAGACTACAGTCTTTCTTAAAAAGTGAGTCCGCGACAGATAAAATGTTTACTCAATTTGGCTATACTATTATAGCCTAAATTGCTGCTACACTTCCCCACTACAAATATGGTTACAAAGACTTTGATTGATTAACAAGCACTGGGAGCAAAGTGTGGTCAATTTAGCAGTTTAGCAGCAATAAAATCATAACAGGTCAAGTTCTTTGAGGTTCCTTTATGTTTGTCTGGGGGGATTTAATTCCTTCATTTGTGCTTCCTAAGTGGCTCTCCCCAGCTATTCACACCTTCCTTTTACTCACCGGTGTGAGTTCGTTTATGGGCTTGCAGTGACTTCTCTCGTGGAAAGACCCTGTTGCAAATATTGCAGCGTATCCTGCTGGAAGAGTGCTCTCCTTCACTGATCAGGTCTCGGACGGTGTCTGCTCTTGGACGGCCACGTCTTATTCCATCCTGGGTGCAAATAATGAGGCAACTAAACTCGGGCACTTCCTCCCCCCTGCAGTTTGGCCAACTGGCGCAGCATCCCCTGGAGCGAAGGCGTGACCAAGGATGGTGCTGTGACAGCACAGAGCCACACCAGACTGTGCCCAGCCCATTCCTAAGGGCCCGGTGCAGGAGGGGAGATAACAGGCACCACCATGAGCTCAGGAGCACAAGGGAAACTGAGAACAGGATCAGAGAATGGGTCAGGCTGAAAGGGACCACAGCGCATCATCTGCTCCAACCTCCCTGCTCAAACAGTCATTCTAGAGCACATGGCACAGGATTGTGTCTAGGCAGCTCTTGAGTATCTCCAGGGACAGAGACTCCAAAACCTCTCTGGGCAACCTGTGCTATGCTTGGTCACCAACACATAAAAAAATTCCTCCTCATATTGAGGTGGAACTTCCTGTGTAACAGTTATTGCCTACTGCCTTTTTTTCCTCCAGCTTGTTACAAGCAAATCCTACCTCCATCCTCTTGGCACCCTTGTAAGATACTCATATCCATTATTAAAGTCATCCCAATCGTCTCTTCTTGAGGCTGAATAGGTACAGCTCCCTCAGCCTTTCCTCATAAAATATATGCTCTGGTCCCTAAATAATCTTTGTTGTTCTATACTGGACGCACTCCAGGAGCTCCATGCCTCTCTCGTACTGAGGAGCCCAGAACGGGACAGACCGCTCCAGACGCGAGGAGAGAGAAGACAAGAGTTTTTTTCGGCGGCGAGGATGGTTGTTTTATGGTTATTTTTTTACTTTTTGAAGGAGGGAGGACGGGCATCCGCCCCGTTCCCCGCTCTCCCCCGCGGCGCGCGCGCCGTAGCCGGAAGTGACTTCACTTTAAATGCCCGGGCGGAAGCGCGGGAGGGGCGCGCGCGGCGGAGTCACCCCGCAGGCGCGCGGCCCGCCCGCCCCCGCCCGCTGCGCACTCACCTTCAGGTGCAGGTGCCGCCCGCCGCTCCCCGGGCTCCCCGCCTTCTCCTCGTCCCCGCCGGGGACTCTGCCCGCTCCCCCGCGGGGCGGCGGCAGGGCTGACGGGCCGGCAGTGCTGTCGCCGCCGCCGGGGCTGAGGGTCACGTTGTGCGCGTTCTCGCCCCAGCGCCAGGGGTAGACCATGAAGTCGCTGAAGCCGGGGCTGGTGGGGACGGGCGGGACGGGCATCGGCTCCTCGGCCCCGCTCCCCGCCGAGGAGGGCTTGATCGGCGTGGTTTTGATAACGGAGACCAGGACGCGCTTCGGGGAGTCCTGGCAAAAAATCACCGGGGGAGCGCCCGGCGGGAGCCGCTCCGCCATCGCCGAACCCTCGCGGGTAGCGGCGAAGGGTGGGAAAGAGAGCGAAAGGAGGGCGCTCCGCGGCGGCACGGCCCCGCAGTCCGCGCCCGTGTCCCGGAATGGGCCGTGCAGCTGCACGGAGGTCCCGCGGCCGTCGCCACCTGTCGCCGCCTGGGCTCGCCTCAGCCGCTCATCACTGAGGACGGCGGCTCCCTATGGTCTCCGCGGCTTGCCCTCCGCACCCCTCCGCCTCCGCGGCCACCCCCGAGAGGGTCCGCCAAGTCAGCGGCGGCCCCCGGCCATGGCAGCGGCCGGAGCGAAGCAGTCACAGCGTTCCCGCACCTTTCCGAAGCGAAGCCGGCCCCACTGGCAGCCCCGGTCCCGGCGATTCCCGAGGAGGAGCCGCCGCCGCCGCCGCGATACCTCCGCGCTCGCAGCCCCGGCCGAGCCCCAGGTTTTCCCGCGTTACGTTTCGCGCCCGAGCGCAGCCAATCACCCGGCCCGGCGCGGGTGTCACGGGGAGTCTGTTCCCGCCGGCCAACCGCTGGGCGGGAAAGTCGGCGGCCGCGCCCCTAGGGGCGGGGCCTGAGGGCGAGGCCGGGCTGTTGCTGCCATTCTATTGGACAGAAGCCGGGCCCACGGACCCGCCGGAGGCGCAGATTGGTCCGCCGGGGCGGGGGCGGGGGGAGGCAAGGGCAGTGCGCCCGGGCAGGTTTGGCGCGCTGCGGCTGTGGGCGGGCTGCGCGGGCCAATCCCGTGGCGGCGCAGCGGAGTTGGCGCGCCCGGCGGCTTAAAGGGGTCGCCTGGCGGTGGGACAACGGGTCGTGGCTTCCCCTCCCTGGGGCGGGGGAAACGCTTTCCTTTCCCCTGCTGGAGCCCTGCCCTCAGGGGCGGACAGAGCTGGGACCGATCTTACAGGGTGGGAGGGTACCTCAGTACGCTGTCTACGCGGGGATCGCAGGGCGGGCGGGGTCGGGCCGGCGCGGCCGTTATGGCGCTGGCGGGGCCGCCCGGGGAGACGCCCCGTCTAGCAGCGGTGCCGTGGCAATAGGGTACTCGTGGCTGTACAGCTACGTGCACCGGTCCCGGGGCTGTGAGAAGTGTGTAGAAGACGTTGTCTCGGCCGTCGACTCGGGAATTTTAGGAGGTTCTTAAGGCAGGTGTTATTTTAAGAGGATGGTGCCAGACTTTATTCAGTGGTTCCCAGCGGCAGGACGAGGAGCAGTGGCTCTAAACTGAGATATAAGAAGCTCCACTTCAACATGAGTGACAGCTTCTTTACATTGAGTGTGGTAGAGAACTAAAATATAAGTTTCCCTTCAGCACGGGGCTGCTCCAGTCTGAGAACATAGCTTACATTTTTTACATTAGTAGCTAAATTTTGAGGCCAGTGTCAAGAGCACAGAAATGCCACAGAGCTCCAAAAATTGTGAGGTTTTTTTCCCAAGATCTATTTTGTTCACAGTTCGTATGCTGCTGACTGCTGCTGTAAGAGTATTGGCAAACTTCATGACTGACAGGAACAGGAAAATGCAGGGAAGAGCAGGTTTGCAGTGTACGACTACTAAGTAATGCCCTTTTGGATAATGGGAAAAGCCTACCAATTCTTCCAATACAGAGGCTGTAATACGGGGCGTCAGCATTCCTTATCCATCCCGAGATCAGCAGCCCTTTCATTCTGAATTATAGTTGAGTTTGCTTCAACTGCTCTTTTAAACTAACTGAAAATCCTCAAGTGTTTACTTAGGCAAATTCTTGTCCATTGCTATGCTATCCCAGCTTCTCCAAGTCAGTGTAACCTGTCAAAGTCCTACCATTACTGTGCCGGGTCAGGCCTTCCTTACCAGGCCAGAAAGAAAATGCTGCAGCTTGTAACATTTGTTTCCAAAATGAGCAAATAGGTTTCCACATGCTTGGATCTGACTCCCTTAAAACCTTTGGCCCTGAAAATAGCCCATGGTAAATACTTCTGGTATTATAATGATGTTGTAGAGGAATAGTAATACAAAAAACATGTTAAAATCTACTTTAAAATTAAAAAAAAAAAAAAATTATTCATGTTAAAATAATTGCACCCCAAAACCAAGCTGCAAATATTCTTCATAACTTTCCAAAACCACATGCCTAATGCTTCAGGTAGTACCTGTAGCTGCTAAAGAACGCCAGTGATGGATGGAATTAACATTGTGAGCTGGTATACAGAACTGTAGATACTGGGAATGGAGCAGTGCATTGTGAGCAACAGAATATCTCCATATTTAACCTATGCTACCCCAATGTACACATTATGTTTTGTGATGGCTTTCAAGGGCCTGACAGCAGATTAACTTTTTTATGTGGGTCTTGTAAATTTTTCTAATGCCAACTAATTGAATTTTGTTAGTAGAGGCAACACAAGAGAAGGGAGAAGTTAGTTGATGCCACATCTGATATTTTAACTGTTCGGAACAGTAGTGTTTTATGTTGTAATAGCCATAACCAAAGAGAACTGAACTTTTTCTCCAGATCCTGCTACTGGAAGAGAAAATGGGCATATAGAATGCACCTGGCCTAGAGGGCCTAAAACACACTGCTTTTCAGTACACAGCCGTAGGTATTATGATGTATTATTAAAGTAGTTCATGTTACATGTAAAACCTGTTCTAAAGTAATCATCTGAACTGAAATGTCTTAGCAATATTAAATATGTTTCCTTTTCATAGTATTTTGATGCTATGCTACTAGCTTAATGTGTGTTGTAGTTTGACTGTGGCTAGATTCCAAAGTCTCTATAGCTTCTCTCTGCAGCTGGACAGAGGAAAGAAATTTTAACAAAAGGTTAATGGGTTGAGATAAGGACTGAGAGGGATCACTCACCAAATATCATCATGGGAAAAACAGGCTCAACTTAGAGATATGAAGTGAATTCATTACTGACAAAATCAGAGCAGGACAATGAGAAAGTAAAATAACCCTTAGAAACAGCTTCCTGCTACCCCTCCTTCCTTCCAGCTCTGCTCCTACCCCAGCAGCACAGGGAGACAGGGAATGGGGGTCATGGCCAGTTCATCACCCCAGGCTTCTCCCACTGCTCAGGAACAAGAGTCATTCCTCTGCTGCACCATGGGGTCCCTCCCATTGCAGACAGTTCTCCATGAGCTTCTCCAACGTGGCTCGATCTCATGAGCAGCAGCTCTCAGTGACCTGCTGCAGTGTGAGTCCCTCCCATGGACACACAGGCCTCCCAAAACTGCTGCAGCCTGGGTCACTCTTTTACAGGGTGCAGTCCTTCAAACACAAGCTGCTCCAGCATGGGGCCTCCCTTGGGTTCACAGACTCCTTTGTGCATCACCTGCTCCAGTGTGGGTCTCCCCCACCAGCTGCAGGTGGATCTCTGCATCCCCATGGACCTCCATGGGCTGCAGGGCACAGCTGCCTCACCATGGTCTGCGCCAGGGGCTGCAGCAGAACCTCAGCTCTGGTGCCTGGAGCACCTCCTCCTCCTCCTCCTCTTCCTCTGACCCTGGTGTCTGCAGAGTTGTTCCTCTCACGTGTTCTCACCCTACTCTTCTCTGACTGCAACTACATATGTGCAATATCTTTTTTCCTTTCATCTGAAATCTGTTATCACAGCAGTGTTATCACCGTTTCTGACTGGCCCAGCCTAGGCCAGTGACACATCTATATTGGAGCCACCAGAGATTGGCTCTGCTGGACATGGAGGAAACTTCCAGCAGCTTCTCACAGAAGCCATCTCTGTAGCCCTCCCCCCTGCAAAGCTTGCCCTTGGAAACCCAATTCAATGCATTAAAGCATTAATATTTTAGTGTAGAAACAAGAAAACGTTCTCTATGCGAGTTAAAGGACCAAAATAATGAAACATGATACAGTCAGATCAAATCCTGCTTATTACAACAAAGCACACCTTTTATCACACGTGACATAAGACTGGAATTGTAAAAGGATAGGGAGCAAGGATTCAAGAGAAAGCAGGAAAATGTATGGTAATAAAATCTTTTATCCAAGTCTTTGTTATTATATTTTTAAAGTTTCCAGATTTCCTGTCTAAGCATTCAGATTCCACTCTAGGAATCACATTCCCAACTCGTGAGACTTTCACTGCTGGGACCAAGATCCCTTTGCAGAGGATGGCTCCAGTCACCTGACAGGTGCCCTGTTTGAATCCCTACACTTACCATACTCACACTGCCAGACAAGCTTCCTTGGCCACCTTGACCCCACATTTCCCATAGCAGTGTCCCAGATGCTGGGTTCCTGGAAGTATTTTGATCCTGATGGGGCAACTCAGTAGCAGCACATGCTGTTTCTAAGGAATTCCTGGGCTTTTACACCCTTACAATCTATGTGCCCACCCTTCATGCCCCTTGCACTTGCCTCTTGGTCCAATGGTGATGTTTTGGCTGAGGTCCTCTCCTTGTTCATTGGGTCCTGCAGAGTCTCTAGGTGACTGGGCACCCCCACCCCTTGCAGCTAGCACCAAGGTCCCCTTTGTCAGCAGAAGGTCAGTGCCTGTTCCTGGCTCATTTGATGGGGCTCCAACCATTTGCTGCCAGCCGGGGCACAATGTCCAGCTTGCACAGAAAGCTGTCAGCATTAGGGTACTCCTCTATAAGCATGTCCATCTTTGGTGATGCAGCTCTCTTTTTGGCTTAAGACTTCATGTGGTCAATTTTGCTTGGTAGAATTGTGTTGCTGGAAAATGTATGAGATAGCTAGATCCTCTAAGTGACACAGTGTTACCCTCTCTACCCTGCCCTAGAACGGTGCCTTGCGCCATGTGATGTGTTCAGGATGTGTCTCCCTCAGGCAGGAGAGATGTGGGCATAGAAAATGAAATGTCCAGGGATGAGAAAGTGTCTGTACGAAAGGTCAAGGACAGGATGACCCTTGCTGCTGATTAGGTACTTAGCTGCAAACACAGAGAAACACCAGTCAGCATTCTCAATTCTGTCTTTTGTAATTAGGCACTTTTGCACCTTAAACAAAAAAAAAAAAAAAAAAAAAAAAAAAAAAAAGAAAAAAAAAAAAGAAGAAAAAAATAAGCAAGGGCTGTTTTGGTAAAGATGCCATATTCCATATCTACACCTGCTAGGCAACCTTGCGTAGGGTGCTGTTCTGTGCGTGTGAAAAATCCACTTGTGGAGAGAATGTGGACGGGACAGCCAATTAGGCAGGCAGCCCTCCTCTTCATTTAACAAGAGTAACCTG